TGTCGTAGAAGCCTAATATTCAAGAGGAAGTTGAAGTGGAATCATCTCCACACTTTCTGTTAGACTGTCCAACCTTCGCGAGGCTTAGATGGAAACATTTGGGCTCGCACTTGTGAACAAACACTGAGCTCTCAGGGATCGAAATTAGCCGCATTCGAAATTTCGTAATCGGCTCGCGGCGTTAACGTAACTCAACCTAATCTGTACTTCTTTGAGTTGTGAAATAGTTGGTCACATTAGGTATACTACTGATCATATTCACGATCTTATAATAGGCTGTATTCCATTTACTCTCACTTGTAGAATGACTTATGTGAGTTGCAAACTATCCTTTAAGTCAAAAATTGAAGAAGAGTTGAGGTTCTGAAGAGCCATTAGCATGTGCTGGACTCTTTCGTAGGTGGTTTATTGAACTCGCATTAGTCTACTTCGTAGGGGTTCCAGAACACAACGGTATCGCAAGCAGCTTAAAGACTGATGAGCTTCCTGTCTGGCCGAGACGTTTCCGAGTAAAAAAAGTTTTGCGCTCTTTTGGCCCCATGCGATCTCTGTCTAGACAACCCGCTAGACTTAGGCGGCTCATAAGAACTGCATGGAAGCCCCAAAATACAAGGCGACCAGGTTTTCTGACTTCGGATAGACCAGAGATATTCTAAGGGTTCCTAAACCTAAACAAGTTACTGGTCTGATTACTGAAGGAAGTCTTTAATGGTATTAGTTCGAATAAAATTCACCGAGTAGGCTCAAAATCTTCTCAAAGCACCATTCGGTTTTCCCGCATTTACCCGCTCCTGTTCTTTTTGTTTCCTTCCCTTAATGAATGCTATCATTAAAACCGGCCTATTTTTTGCTAGACTAAGGCCGTCTGCTTGCATTTAATTTTTCCATGCATTTTTGATACTCACCACTTAATAAATAATCACATTTTGGCACCAGATTAGTTATATATGTGTATATATAATGTTTATCTACACATTTTTCATCCCACACTTTCACACATACATCCGTCTACACATTCATCTTCCGCTTGTCCACTGTTGAATCTTTATTTCATGCCGCAGCAGCAAGCCCAGCATACGTAGAAAGTTATCGCCATACTGCAGTTTTGCCGCCAGAGTTACATGGCATACAACTGTCACACCAAGCCACGGCTCGTTTTCGCTTTTCTCGCAGCCGCATCGTCAAGGTGGTGGCGCCCCATAGAAGCTGCGCTCCTTCGCCGTATTCTTGCCAGTAGCAATTTTCTTGAATTTCACCACAACACGCATGCGTTGCAAGAACTCATCATGCAACAAATTCACACACATAGATGTGAGTGTCAGTCCACTCAGAATATACGCCACGCAGAACCATACCACCAACGTCGAAGCGGTTGTAGCCGGACGCACATGCGCGCCTGGCAGCAGATCACAAAATCCGATTGTGGTCAGACTCATGAAACAAAAGTAGATGCCATCGAAGAGTGACCACTGCTCCAGTAAGGCAATGACGAGCGAACCGAAAGCGATATACGCTAGCAGCAGCACCACACAGAAGCCGAGCGGCAGCGCCAAGGACCAGCGTAGAGTATGCGCGCTGCCGCTGCGC